ACAAGGAGAAATGAAACTGCTGATATTAGTGATGCAATGCGTAGGTCTCACCAGCTTAAAATAACCGAGACAGAAACCCAGAAACCGCCTGACAGCTGGCGCCACAGCCCGGCTGGGCTCCCAGGGCACCGCTCAGCGTTAGTTGTGAAGGGAAAACATTAAAGAACAGAAACGGTGGAAACAGCATCAAAGACGCTGGTGTCTGCAGGCAGAGCGAGTGAGCGGGCGGCTTCAGTTTAGAACAAAGGGCCACTCCCCGTGTGGGTGGCTGGAGGGCCCAGGGCCCAGAGGACTGGCACTGGGGTGGGAGGGGCTCCGAGGAGGGCTGGGGGTGGGGCCGGGTCAGGCTAAGGGTCACCAGGCATCCAACGCAGGGAACCAGCTGCTCAGCTCCGGCCAGGCTCTGTCCAGGGCACTGCAGTCTGTCCCCAGGGGCTGAGGCCCTGTGCTAGCGACAAGCTGTCCTCTGAGGCCCGGGCTGAGCGGACTGTGGGGGAGGGTGGGCCTGTGCTCTGGGTGTGAGAGGCTGTCAGATCCCTGGGAGGGGTCTCCTCACCACCCCAGCAGCCTCCTTCCTGTGACTTTATCTGCAAGAGCTTGGGCATGTGCCCACAGGGGGCCAAAGCCAGGGTGACTGAGTCCCTCCTGTCCACCTCCCTGGTCTCTGCTTTGTTTTCCCCTCCCCCTCCCTCTTGTCCCCCTCCCTTTACTCTGCTCCCTCCTGCTGACCCCTTCCCCTCCCAGTCCTTCCTCCTGATTTATCCCGCCCTCTCCCCTATAACTCCTCCCTCAGGAACAGTGGGCTGGAGGGGACATAGACAGGATGCTGAAAGGGGCACTGGGCACTGGGAGGTTCTGGGTTGGCAGGCGGGGTTCAGGGGGGAGGGGAGGACCCAGAGACTGTGAAAGGCGGTGGGGACCTAGAAGAGCCCCCACCTGCCTGGGGTGGGCAGGACCAGCAGGATGACTGGGGAGGGCGTGGCACAGGCAGGACAGGGGCAGGAGGCCTGGGGCATCTTGGGGTGATGCACCCCCACCGCTTATCAGCACACTGTCACCCCAGACACGCAAACCCCATGCACACACTGTCCCCACACACACGTGGTCCCCATCACACTGCCTCCCTCACCATCTCCTTAGGAACAGGACAGGGGCCCTGGTTAGAGAAAGGTGGGAGGGTCAGGGGCGCCATCTCCCCGGTCCTGTGCCCCCGGCTTGCTGGCCCTCTCCTCCCTGCTCCGTGTTCTGGCTTCCCCCTCAGGTGTGGAAGGTTGCATCTGGGGTCACAGCCGGCTGGCCCGCCTCTTTCCCTCACCTCTCACCCTCTCCAATAAGCAGGTCCGGTGCAGCCCACACCCCAGCTCTGTGTGGTCTCCCCCGGAGCAGGGGGTGCTGCCCTCAGCTCGTCTTGGGCTGTTGAGAGTGTGAGAACTGACAGAGCGGACCCTGCGCACTCGGCCCAGGTTCCTCAATGGTCCCTGTGTATGAGCCCGTCCATCTCGCAGCCAGGACGCTGGCCTGGGCACAACCACTGATCTGCTCAGAGCCCGTTTTAGGGACTTAATTTGTGTGTGTGTTTGCTGTGCACGTTAGCCCTGTGCCGGTTCCATCACCACAGGGCCCTGCGTGTCCCTCGCCCGCCTCCCTGTCCTCCGCCTCGGGGACTGCGTGTTTCTGTGACGCATGTGAATGAATGACTGAGTGTGGCTGTCGGGCTGGGCCGTGTGGCCTCGAGCTCTTCACCCACCAGCATGTGTCTCCCATGGGCTCCTTCCCGGAGAGCAGAGCTGGGGGTGGTGGGAGCTGAGCGGCTGCCTGGCCCTTTCTGTTGAGTTTTGGTGACGGTGCTGCGGGCACAGGGGTGTGTGGTGTCAGTGTTACTGTCAGCCTTGGCCACAGGAGTGGTCCCCGCGGGCGCTGGGGCTGCGGTGTGCATGTTCCTGTACCTGTGGTATAACCCCTTTATCCGGTAGCTGGCTGCCATCTGCGGGGCCTAATGATAAAGTTCAGGAAGCAAGGGGCCCCCCTCCCGAGGCTCTCTGCAGGGTGGCGCCCCCTCCTTCTTGCAGGAGGGTCCTGGGGGCAGGAGGGTCCTGGGGGCTGGAGAAGTGCCCGCGGGACTCCCAGCCTCCTGCTCTGGGGACAGGCGCTTTAGAGTTTCCAAGGCGCCAGCCCCAAGGACACACACACACACACACACACACACACACGGCGGCAGCAGGTGGAGGGGAACATGAGCCAGCACAGATGGAAAGTGGGGGAGAGGGGATCCCCCGAGCTCTCCGGAGGCAGTTTCCATTCACAGAGAAACACAGGAAGCAGGAGGATCATCCCGAAACTGGTTCTGAAGACGCTGGTGGGGTGATGTCAGTGACCCCGTCCCCGAGCTGTTCCCATCGGGTGGGGTGGGACCTGCCACTGGCCGGCAGAGTCACAGGTACCTCTGAGGTCGGAACAGGAAATGGTTAATAATGTTTGCAAATAAAAACTTTCTGTTCTATCCTGTTTTTGAAGCATTTCCCAGAAGTTAAGAGAGGTTGCCTAATTTGTCGGCAAAATTCAAGAACCAACTTGTAAGTGTTAGAAATTCTTTATCACTGCTTATTAAGTAACAGCTTAATACCGCAGAACATCTCCAGTCATCCTCTGACAACTCATTCTTCCCTCCCCCACCAAATTCTCGATAGTGAACTTTTCAAATAAAGACACGTTCGCGTCTCTCCTCTGTTTAAAACTTTATGAAGTAAAGGCGTTTGCTGTGAAATGCTGCCCACGGCCAGGGGAACATTGTCTGCCTGGCTCCCTTCAGCGTACGGGTCCCGAAGGACTCCTGTTCATAAACTGTCTCTTCACAAAGCCACTCGGCCACTCACTGGGTTCATCGTTCTGAGGGTCAAAAACTTCCTCACCGAGTCTCAGGCCACAGCTGCTGCCAACCGGCCCTCTGCCCTTCGTCTTCCTGGTGTTTGCAGGACGGGCCTACATCGTGTTAGTGGAAAACCAGGTTCTCCAGGAAACAGGAAATTACTGATGCCCAGGGACTAGACACTTTTTGCTCACCTTGGCTTTTGGAATTGCACTTTTGGAGTTTCTGTAAACACTCAGAAATGTAGAGAGTTTTTTATACCAAGGTTTTATTAGCTTCATTCTTTGTTTTGTTTTGTTTTTAATTTTTATTGATTTCAGAGAGTAAGGGAGAGGGGAGAGAGATAGAAACATCAATGACAGGAGAGAATCATTAATCAGCTGCCTCCTGCACCCCCTCCTCCCCCGGGGATCGAGCCCGCAACTCGGGCACCTGCCCTTGACCAGAATCAAACCTGGGACCCTTCAGTTCACAGGCTGACGCTCTATCCACTGAGCCAAACCAGCCAGGGCATATCAGCTTCATTCTTAATTTCAGTTTTTGAAGAAGACATTGGCCTTGAAGTAATAGATGGCTTCATCCACAATATCTGTCTCTTTTGTCTTTCTGGGGGCAGGTCCTTTGAACTGACTTCTGATGGCGACAGTGCGGTGTTTCCAATGAGTTTGGGGCTGGGGTCCATGAGAGAAGAGTGGTAAGCCAGCATCTTGGTGGCCCCTGAGTTTCAACCCAGATGAACAAGAACCAAATTTAATTTTAATTTTTAAAAATCCTCACCTGAGGATATGCTTATTGATTTTTTCTTTTGAGAGAGAGAGAGAGAGAAACATTGATGTGAGAGAGAACATCAATTGGTTGCATTCTGTTTGTGTCCCAACCGGGGATCCAACTGGCACCCCTTAAGTACATGGGATGATGCCCCAACCAACTGAGCCACACCAGCCAAGGCAAGAACCAAATTTTTAAAAAATTAAACAAAATGCTTTCACCATCTACTATGCACAAGAATAAAGATAGCCACTTGCCTGTTTGTTAAGGTGGAGGGAGTCACAAGAGATTCTCATCCCCTTCATTTTCTAAACCTTCTAGAACGCTGTGAGTAGTTTAAATGTGAATTCACAGTTTAAGCCTCCAAATGTGTGTGTTTGTGAGTATACGTGTATATGTGTTTGTGTGCAGGCGTGTAGGTGCTGCGTGTGTGTATTAATGTGTAAGCCTGTGCATGTGCGTACAGAAATCCAGGACTGTAGGGTATCAGTTAACATTGCTCTGATTTGGTTGGGCAATGCCTCCCAAACCCTCCGAAATCAGTGCTTAAAAAACTGGAGCTAGACGTTTACTCCTCTCTTTTTTATACCAAGGTTCTCTCTTGTACATTAAGTCAGAGGTAGGCAACCTGGAGAAAGTACGGTGACTCCGACTGTCATCAAGGATCCAGGGTCTTAGCTTTCTGCTTCCTCAGCACATGGCCTCCATCCACAGGGTGAACTCATGGTCTAAGGTGGCTGCTGGGCGCCGGCCATCACCTCCGCACCACTGCACAGAAGACGGGGGACATGGGTGCTGGGGACGAGGCCGCTGAGCTTGCAGTGGGTGTTGGGAACCAAAGTCGGCTCGCTCTCAGTCTCCCTGGTCGAACCCTTTATCTCCCCAACACTGAGGGGAGTCATGGCTTTGGTCCCACCTGACTACCTCTCCACAGCCACAGAAGAAACCTGCTCCCTGGCGTGCTGGCTGGCGAGCTCCGCATCTCCAGCCCGCTGCCCAGGGGAAAGGCTGCCCTGGCAGCTCCTCCAGCACCGAGGGGGCTTTAATAGGAGTGTGTCAGCCCCGCCTCCACGTGGCCCTTGCCCTCAGCCGTGGGCCCCCAAAGGTGGCCTTCCTTTGCCTCTCATTTGCGTCTTCCAGCCCCTCCCTGCTCTGCCTGACCTCAACTCACCTTTCCTCGTTGTACCTGACGCACCATCACGCTCCTGAAGCTCACACGGAAAACCGAAAAGGCGGGCAAGTCCAGACACACATGCACAGAAAGCACAGAGGGCGTGCTTGGGGGGGGGGGGGGGGGGGGGGGCCCGAGGCGGTCCCAGGGGCAGGCGGCTGGCTTCTCCTAGGTGCTCACCAACACTTTATATAAGTTCCTGAAGCTGTGCATTTATGCTTTAGGCATTTTTACGTAAATGATGCACATTTCCAGCCAATAAAAAGCTTGAAAAAATTGGCAATAATACATATTCAAGAAAGTTCTTGGCAGCTTTGTCTGTAATGACAAAGAACCACCGGCCGGAGTAGAGGTGGGGTCAGGGCAGGTTATGGCAGAGCCGGGCTGTGAGCATGGGCCACCGTCCAGGGTGCGTGGAACACCAGGCACAGCATGATCTGTTTAGTATGTTTTCCCATCTGTGAGGAATACATACAAATAGTTACATGTACATATGCATGGGAGCACGCATGGACGTCAGCACAGATGAGCTCTGGCGATGGGGGATGGGTGATTTCATCGCATTGGGTTGTTTTTCCTTTTTGTTTCTATTTTTTTCTAAAAATGAAAATGTATTGCTTGCTTGCGTCATGAAAAATATTCAAAAGGAGAAGAAAAAGGCCTGTCTCTTGTGTGTCTGAGCCGAGCTGGTTGCCATGGAGACTGGACGGTTGTCAAGGCAGCTATTGGATGGGCAGGGGGGGCTGCGGGTGCTTCCTGGGAGCCGAGCTGGCACAGCCCGCAGTCTGCACTGCGGGGCCGGCGCCAGCATGGACGGAATGGACGTGTGGGTCAGCACCTTAGCCCAGCTGATGGCCAAGAGGAAGCCAGAGGACACCTGGGAGCTGGTCCTTGAGGAGAACCTGTTCTCCGGGCATCTGGACAGTGGTAGGTTACGAGTACCCGGGCGGAGGGGG